ACCCTACTAAGACCTTCCTGAGGCCATCTGTCTAAAGTTAGGACTTCCAAAAGTCATGCCAGTGCGCCAGGTGGCTCCTTTGACCTGCAGGTGTGGGCTGCAGAGCCCTGCCATGAACTGTGACAGCCTGCAGAGGCCTGCCTGCAGCCCATCGTTTGCTGCACGCTCTCCTGAGCAACAGCAGGACCAGTAGTGTCTTATTTAGGCAGTGCCATTGTATTTCACAGAAAACATGTGAGCTGTTCCTTGGGACTTTTTTATACTCTTACATGACAGCTGAGCTGTTGTTATCAGTGTGTGCTCCCCAGTTCAGCAGCTTGTCTTAAAGAATGGAAGATTCCCTGGCAGTTCAGCTTGGACATGCTGGCAGGGATGGGCCTGGGGGCTGAGCAGAGATCAGGAAATCCAGTCCCCACTCTGAATTTGAAACCTCTTCAGCCCTGGAGGTGTTGGTACCTTATTGCAGGCTGTAAAAAAGGACAAAAGCAAAACACATGAAGAAAAAAACATAGCTGTCATGACTGCCTCTACTGCCCTGTTTAATACTGTCTTACAAAGTCAAGTGTATTGTGTAAATTATGTAGGATGACCCTGCTTGAGCAGGGAGGTTGGACCAGATCACTCATTGTGGTCTTTTCCAACTTGAACCATTCTGGGTGATTCTGTATTCCAGGATTTGTCTTTTTCTAATGTTGCAAGATTCCTTTTATCTACTTAAAATGCTAAGCTGCATTTACTAAAGGCAATGTCCTCTAAGGGACAATTTTGACTTCCTTGGTTATTTAACACGTTTTTTGCTCCTAGAAACGTACAATTAGTGTTGAGATGTAAAACCAGACATAATGTTCCAGGAACAAATACAGCTCTTGTGTTCTCTTTGCTATAGCCTGCCTCTCTGAGCTGTTTGCATGATGAGGAGCAGAAGCAATCTCCTTCAATAATATGTGAACAAGGAAAGAATAATCAGTTGTGTGCTAATGACATGGCTTAGGTCTGCTTCAGAAGATTAGTTTTGCTAATTCTACAGCTGTGGTTGTGTGCTTGTTCTGACTTCAGCAAGTTTGATGGGCCTTCTATCTGAGTACATCTTGTACCACTTCAGCACCAAACAATCCTTTCCTTCCTTCACAGGTACGATGAGGTCCTGCACAGATCTTCTCAGGATCTGCAACCCAAGCACATTGTCAGCTACCTCCTCACACTGAGGTAAGGTGTTTGCTGATACTGGCCGTGTCTCCAGTGAGGACAGGTCTTCCTGAGCTGGCTCTGCAGCCCTTACATCTGCACTGCTTTGAAAAGTGAAAATAGCGGGAAGATGCAAATTTGTGGCACAGTTTCCCTGAAGCAGGAAATATATAAAGTAGGATAGCAAATAATGTAATAAATAGTTGAGATTAAGGCTGGAGCCAGGAGCCTCCTGACAAACTTAACAGCTTTTAAGAAAAAATAATCATTTGGCTGAAACACAGTATCTGAACCCAAAATCATGCTGGAATAATGATGTCTTGAGGAGCAGATTTTAGCTGATAACATCCTTTCAATATCAACATGTCAGCTAGGAAATTTTATCCAAACCGTGTTTAACCACTGTTCATGGGCTGAGATAAAGCTTGTTATTAGTGTAAGTCATACTGCGGATCTGATTCCCAGAGGGAGCGGACAGCACCATGAAATGCTGGTGTAGGCTTGGTGGAGGAAGCTGTAGAACCTGTGTATGGGGAAGGCTTTAACAAGTTAAGGAAAATTGTGCAAAGAATCATGCATCTTGGGAATGATAGGATAGGCTCTCAAGGATCTTCCCAGATCCGTCTTGAGACTGTTCTGTGGGTTTCTTGAGGGGAGAGAGGGCAGGGAGTGGGAAGGTATGTGTGAAGCAGGGAGATGGTTTTGGGGTTATTTTAGGAGAATGAAGTTGTCAGGGCATGCCACCAACAGCATGCGGGCCACAGAAAACCATGCCCTCCTTCAGCCAGGTGAAGAGGCTGTTGGAAATCAGCCCGTGGCATGCTGCACTTGTGGGTGGCTCTTCCAGTTCTGCTGCTTTCTGTAGCCCGCAGCGCTGCTGCGTTTGTCAAGTGCCTTGCTCCTTCTCACCGTTCTCCCGTGTTTTCCCTTGCAGCCACCTGGCAGCCGTGGCACACAAAACCCTGCCCGTGAAAGGCAGCGCCCCTGCCGTGGCACAGGTGCGGCACAGCGGGGTTGGGGGCTGGGGGGCGGCCCAGGAAGGATCCGTGAGGGCTTTGCCAGCCCAGCCGTGTCACCACTGGGGGGAATACGAGCCCGCAGGCGCAGGAGCCAACAGCCAGGCTCTCCCGTGGGCGGAACCGCTTGGGGAAGGCAGGGATTGCTGTTCACAGCTGTGCCTTCCGGAAAGGGCTGCTCTGCTTGATCCTCCAAAAACACAACGCTCCCTAAGGACAACTGCTATAGTCAAACACCTTGCCATCACCTTTCCTTCTAAATGTTTTAAGAGTAAACATTTGAGCATTTAACTTGCTCGTTGACTTTTGATGGTTTCCTTTAGTGGTTATGTGGGAAGATAAAGAATTAGGAGAGAACTGAATCTGTCTCCTCCCTCTTGCCACCTACATATCCCAAGTTGTCGGTATTGCCTTTCTAGCTAAAGCACAGAGGCTGACAACTGTTAATGTGCCATTCCAAATAAATGCAAATTCTTCTTACTGATCTCCCAGGCAATGTTTGACCCCCCCTAACAACTCAGTAAATGATATATTAATTACACTGCCTCTCTTATTTTCTTTCATCTATTTCAAAAGGAATTACCTATTTGATTTTGGTAGGAAATCACATTTAAGTGTTGAGCTGTGCTGTGGGGGAACCACATTCTGTGGAATGGTGGAGCTGCAGTCTGTATTTGAGCTTTGATACTGTAGGCATTAATTCCTTTGACTGCATCAAACTTCAAGGAAAACCTCAGTTCCTTATCCTGTAAATAAAAATAAGTATCTTGCAATGTGACAGCTTTCAAGAGCTATGATTTTTGGAGCAAGCTTGATAGAGCCCTTCCCAAACAGCCACCTGTGTAACAGCCAAGACACGAACGAGGGAGAGTGAAATTTTCAAAGCAGCCCATAGTTGCTTGTCAGCCTGTCACCGAGGCACAGCGAGGGGAGGGATTCCAGCAGTGTCCTCTGGCTGTACTAGCCCCTGGTGAATGATTTTCAGCTTTTAGTCACTGCATTCTTGCTCATGCATCTCTGCTTGCTCTGCCTCGAGGGCTGGGCTGGGCGTTCCTTTCCACCTTCCTTTGTTTGACAAAGCGTCCCTCTGTTGACACTGCAGCGGGCTGCCAACAGCTGGTGGGAATTCCTGCAGCACTGGCTGTTCCTCAGTACTCCGGTTTTGTGTAGATCCGAATCCCAGTGGGGGCTGAGGCTGCACAGGAACAGGCTGCACAGGGTGTTCTCACCTCGCCATCTAACTGCTGGCCCAAGAACCACACCCTGTTCTCTAGCACTACCCTAAAATGACTTTTTTCCTTCTTTTCCAGGCACGGCTCTGTCTCTTCCACGCAACACGTTCAGTTCTAGCCAACGGAATGAAACTTCTTGGCATTACACCTGTAAATCAAATGTAACGAGGCCATATCCCATGTCAAGTCATATCTCGTAGTAAAATGATTTTTTCCACAATAATATGGATCCTCTCCTGTGTGTCACTGCTGCTGAAGGCTGGAAACTCCATCTGTGCTGGTTTGTGTTCTCCCTGCTACCAGCAGGTGTGGCACAGTCATTTGCAGGGGCAAGGCTATCACACTCATTCTCTTCAGACCTTTGGTGGCAGCAGTGTATTTAAGACACTACTCTACCTGGAATTTCCCATGAAAGAGAACTGCTGTGTATTTGCCATGTAAATATCACATCCTTTTAGTAGAGGAAGTGGTATTAACTGTGCTTCCCTAAGCAAAGTTCTCCACTCCTGCGGTTGCCACTGTGTACCAAGGCCTAATGGCACAATGCCTTCAAACTCTGTCTGTTGTAACAAAAGGAGTTACTCAGGCCCTGCAGAGACCTTTGCCTGGGTGTTGTGCTGCATTCCTCCTTCAGAAACCTCCGCCAAGCCCAACTGCCAGCTGTCACACCCTGCTCCTCAGCCCTTCCTCGGACCCACTGATGTGACAGCTGGCAAGAAGGGACTGCTGCCCAGCTGGTGGAACAGGAAGCAGTGTTCCCTCAGCACAGGCAGACGTGGCAGGTGCTGCTTGGCACCCCTCAGCCTCACGTTGCTGTAGAGAGGTGGGGCAGCACCCGTGAGGGCCTGCAGGTGCCTGGCAATACCTTCCACCATGGCAGCCTTGACTCCCAAGAGCAACACTGTAGTGGAACACTTGGCAAAAGGCAGAGGGGACCATCCTCTCCCACTGGAAGAGAATTTAGGCATGTTTGTTGCTGCTGTGTTTAACATGCCCCACTTTCAAGTAAAACAATTCCTGTTTAAAGAAATGTAGCCAAGAGCATGAAACTCCACAGTGAATGGCAACAAGTTGCCCAAAGGCGCCAGGGTCGGTTCTCCCTCAATGTAGAGTTGAAACATCTGGAAGGCCTCAGAAGATGAGGAAGGAGGTTGAAGTTGCACAGTTGGCACTGATAAATTAAAGGTGAACATGCATTGCAGGAGCCCTTTTCAAGCATCTGTATGCAGAGAGGTTGAGAGAGAAAAGATATTCTAGACAGAAACTTCATTTACACTTAAGCCAGAGGTACAGGAACAAGTAAAAACCTTCCCCTATACTAAGCATAGAAGAACCCTTTAACACCTACAGCTGAATTAAAGAAAACACTTAAAGAGTAAAAGGAAAGCCACAGCTTCAGAGTCTTTCATCTGACTTTTTAAACCAAACAAGAAGGGCTACCTGTAGTCACTGTGAAGTAGGTGATGCTCAAAGCAAGGGTATTCCCTGTAGAGTTGAATCATCTCGTGCTTAGTGCCTAGGAGAGGAACTCTTCCTGTCATTAATCAAACTGCAATTGCCAAGTATCTTAAGAGAAAATGGTGGCAGTAGTTGCTTTTTTAATAGTTTTTTTTATGAAGCTTTTCAGGCATATCTGCCCTCAAAGAGCAAGACAGTTTATCAAATACACAAAGAACCAATTTCCCTCCATTATATACATTATATACAATTGAGTGATCAGTTCCTTCATTGGGTTTTCCCTGTAAATGAGACTCTTCATTGTCGATGTGAATGAAGAATACCTTCCATAAAATACCCAGCCAGCTCCTCAGCTGCAGTGTAGCCTCAGTGTCAGCCACTGGAAACTCCTCATGTGAAACAGAACTACCTTCTGCTTTTACTCTACCAACTTAAACCATTTCATGACTAGCTTAAGGCTAATTTTGAAAAAAAAAGCAGTCTTTTTAAAAGTCTATTTTTTCTCTTGTCCATCTGTCCATTTTTATGGGCATCACACAGTAGCAAGTCTCTCTTTAGAGGTTTTAGTCTCTGAGGGCTGGATTTTTGTGGTGTCTTGTCGAGGTAATCCATAGAGGTAAATAGAAATACACACCAGGAGAGCACCCAGGGAGAAGGTAGCAGCTGAAAAGAGACAAAATAGTTTAAATAAATACATTCATGTAAGAAGCCTTCAGCAAGCCATGTCAGTTATGATACCTGAATGACAGCATTGAAGTTACCCAAAACTAAATAAGACAGCAAACTTGATAAGTCACAGCATTTAGCTTCATCCTCTGTCACTGGGATCTCCTGAGTGTTTACAATCCCCACACAGTTCCAGTTGGTCTCATAGTAAGAATGTGGTGGTGGTGGTCATAAAAGCAAGAGTAAAGCATCTCCTGCAGTCCCAGGTGCCATCTGTAGAGGCTTACATTACAATAAACTTAAACCATAAAAAGCCAGGGGATGTAATAAAGTACCCTGTGATAACAACTTTTTTGCCTTTCCATGTCTAGACAGAGTTATTAAGAAACTCTGTTAATGAGGCTTTAATTAATAAAGTTCATTAGTCCAGGTTTGATTTGTGTCAACTGTCAAGAAAACACTGCCCAAGTAAGTTTTTAAAATGTTTTCATCCCTTGCTTTATGGTGCTGTCTTGTAGACAAACACTGATTATTTTCTCCTTATGCAAACTTTCCTTAAGTTTTGTCTCACTAATACTGTATCAAAAAGCTAGTTTTCCCACCATCTTCCCACACCATCTTTGGATTAAGGTAGGAAACTACCCACAACTCAACAGTGAAGGACTGAGCGGGAGTGCTGGGCACGGTATCAGCCACAGACTTGACTGGGGAGAAAATTGCAGAACAGCCCAGAGCCATCTGCTGTTTCCTCTCCAAGACATTCACCACATCAGTCAGGCACAACCCCAGCTGCTCTCTGACTTTCTCTCGTGGTGTCTACAGCAGATGGAGAAAGTAAAAGTTAATGCAGTACTGGGTGTAACTCATTAGGGATGTGTAAAGCCCTTGAAGAAATAGCTGAGGAATTAATTTGGCACTGGCTGGACTTAACCCAACAAGAAACAATAACCCGTAAACCGCTGTATCACTCATAAACTGCAGCAGAAAGTGATGCATGAAAATAAAGCTGTTTAAACCAGAAAGGTTCTTTCTGTTTGAAATTGCAGATGCCTCTGAAAGAACAAAGCCTTTGAAAGCAGAGCCATCAGGCACCTTTGTGCACCACAACAGGGACCGATGATGCATTAGTGCACAGGAGTCCTGGAGAAGACCTGAAGCTAGAACCAGAAAAAGGGCGAGGTTTGGCTTTGGTAGGAGCTGCGTGCAGCAGGCTGGGCAGGCAGGGAACATGCACAGCCATCAAATCAAAGGCAAAAAGGCACTTACTTATCTGGAGGCCAAAGAGGATGACTGATGCCACAGTAGAGAGAACAATGGCTGCCGCTGCAGAAAAGCCTTTCATGATGTTATCTGTGTACTTAACAACCACCGAGGTGTAGAGGCCACCCACGCTGGCCAGAACTGCAAGCAGATAGGGTGTTACCATAAGTACAGGTGTAGTAGGTTACTCTTGAAATGATGCATTTTACTTCACTAGTGTGCTCCTACTTTGGACTACATTGTCCTAATTAATGATTTAATAGATCATTCAGGGGAATGGGATGTCTACATGGCATCCTGTAAATAAGATATGACTAATTTTAAATTATCTACTTGCTAGTCAATTATTTAGGCTGCTGTTTCAGCACAATTTTAAATTGGGTAAGTGAATAACTTCCAAGAAAATGTTACTTTTAAATAAAATCCCTCAAAACACAGTTAAGAGTGTGTCATACTGAAGTTGTAGCTTCCTGCAATCAGTTGTATCATTGTTCAAGAATAAAAACAATGTCAAAGACAAAAACCATAAGATACTTACAGACAACAAACCAGACGTAGTATGTGTAGCCATAGAAAAACCCTTTCTCAAGAACTTTGGCTCCATCTGACATGTACACAACAAATAAATTCACCACAATCCCAGATAAGTACAGCTGAATGTTCCTCACCCACAAGGAAGTATCTGAACTCTTTAACACCTTTTCAAAATAAACTCCTGAAAAAAACAAAACAAACAAAACCCTGAAAATATTTCAGTGAGAAGAATGATTCATGGTTCATTGCATTTCAAAACCAGACAAGCTGTTGGAGCCAGTAAACTCTCAAGGTCACTGTGTGTGGCAGACCACTGTTGAACACCAGTGATGGATCCAGGGTCGGTGCCGTCGCTCCTCAAGGCTCAACCCTTGTACATCTGGGTGAGCACGAGTATGCTACAGCAAAGGGACTGTGAATGTTCCTCTCTTACATTCTCAAGTTCTTCAGATTTGTAACAAACTCAGCCCTATAAGGAGTTACTGTTGTCTCATAGAATCTTTTGTTAAATTGTTTCAATTAGGCTGTTAGGTTTAAGTGCAGTTAAAACCTTCAGGCCTAAGCCATTGGTCAAGTCCAGGGCAAAGTTTAGCAAGGGGATCCACTTTGACTCAGTGGGAAGGTCTCCCTCACTCCTGTTTATCCTCACCCTTTCCTTTCCCTACCCCTTTTTAATCCACAGTCTCCATGAAAATAATTTTATGTTGATTTAAATTTTAGATTGATTTTAGTCGGGTTTTTTTCAGAGGGTAGGGTAGAAAGGGAGGATCTGTATTACCTCAGTACTGAAACTGAAAACTCCTCAGGAGCTTTGTGCTCCAGAGCACTTGGGAGAGCAGCTCGTTCTGAAACCACAGCTTCAGGGGATTACAAGGATAAATAAAAACCAAGGCCTTCTGCTAATTGAAAATACAGGCTGGTTTTGAGGAAGTGGAATTCATTTGAATCTAAAGCTCTAGTTCTTGATATTACACTGAAGAGCATTATTTTTATGCTTTGCATTACTGAAACTCCCCAAATACTTCTTCATTATTCTACTTGGGAGGCATTTGTCAGACTAAGAGGCAGACATTTGGCAAAGCCCTCATCACCTGCCTCTTTAACCACTGCTCACCCAATCAGGACTCTTCCAAGCTCTGGAATTTCCTCTACATTTCAAAGCAAAGAAAGCAGTTTGCAGGACTCTTACCAGTGACTTCCATGACCTTCTGGTGAGAGCCCTATTGACTGGAAGTTTATTGGTGATTAGTATCACACACCATCCTTCATACAATGGGAGAAACTCATATGGAACCAACAAAGGTGGCACAAAGATCCGTGTGTTAGAAGCCCTAGGCACACACCCCTTCCCCCCCACAAAAATCCCCAAATTAGCTTCAAGGAAGGTCTTTTTACTCTTTTATTAGTGAAAAATGCAATTTATAATTTAATAGAATACAGTGAGTACTTATGGTGAATAAATGAGAAGGCAGATTTATACTCCAGGGGTTCAAATAAATATAAAACCAAGGAAATATTGTATTATCTCATAAGAATATAAATTTTTGAAATGTAAAAAACAACAACAAACTAGTACAGTTAATGACTACAGCTTTTAAAATAACCCAAAAAAATTATCTTGAGATTTCTGCCCCCTGAGAAGACCCAGAGAGCACAATGAGGTGTAATCAACATAACAGAAATTTGGCTTGAGTATGAACCATACTTGTAAATGTTATAAACTGAGAAAACAGTAGGCAAATCAATAAAACTATGCTTCTAGATTTGTGAATACACATTTCACAAATCCACTAGGCAAGAAGAAGCAAAGAATGGGGGCTGATGAGGAGAGCGTACTCCTCAGAACTGTTTTAAGTCACAAAGGATTTGCCATTAAATTATCCCTCCAATGCTTTTAAAAGCATTGCTGGGGCCCTGGATACTTGGAAAATATCACAGGATCAGCAATTTGAAGAAAAAGCTTCTTTTCCATCCCTAAGTGACAAACACATACAACCTTTTTTAGATTTTGCTGGACTAACAAAACACTCTGTAAAAAATGGTCAGCCCAGAAACTGCAGGTCTAACGGCAAAATAACTGCTTCATGTGAGCGTGGGAAGGAAGAACAGGAAGGGAATTTGAAAAGAATTTATGTTTTCAACATGTAAAGCCCCAAGGGCACAAGGAGCTCTGTGGATGAAGCACACAGTCAGTCCCTCCCAGCTGCCCCAGAGCTTCAGCTGTCAGCAAGGAAACCCAAGCTGCAATCCTTTTGCAGGAGAAGAAAGCCCTGAGTGTCTAAGCTGCCTGCACCAGCCTGTCAGTGCTCTGAATTTGCAGGTCTTTGGAAGCACAGCTGCTGGCCCACATTATCTGGGAAAGCAGGAGTTTTAATAGACTCTGAAGGCTGCATTTTGTCTTGCAGCTTTGGAGCACCTATTTAAGTGAGGAAATTCATAACCTGCCAGGAAAAGCTGACTGAGCTCTACATAGTTTTATTTAGTATTTCTGCTTCAAAGTGCCTATTTAACTGAAATGACACCAAATAAGAATGACACTCTCCTCCTCTACCCACCAGAATGTTTTTCCATGAGTAATGAGCATCTATGCACAGCACAAGATCATTTTTGCATGACTTTCCAGTACTAGAGGTGGATAATACCTTGTTTTTTACAGGGGAGAGGAGAAGAATCCAGTTTACAGTCAGGGGAATATGCCCCTGTGACTCAAATTTCAAATTAACAAGTAATTTGCATTTCTTTATTTCTGAGCACCAGTTCACTTGTCCCAAAGTTTTAGTGTCCTTCTCCAGAAGCCAGAGAAAAAACTACACTGAGAGGAGACACTGGTTGTAGAACAAAGCAAAAATAAACAAAACCAAAAATCCTTCACTGAGTTTATCCAGGCTTCCTGCTACTACTCTAACTCTCTGCCTTGCTCATGCTCCCTCTACATCCCATTTTCCACCTACAGAACTATGGCAATGTGTATTTCAGGGCTGAGCTGGTGCAGAACTGAGTGAGGAGCTCAGTTCCCCTTGTAAAAAACATGCAAGTATTTCATGTGATCACCAAAGGGGAGCTATTCACTGCAAAGTAAACTTTATAAAATTGATGTACATTAATTAAATGCACGGAGTGAGTCATTATGCTGCTCCCTACAGTCTTATTCACAGCACTGAAAGACACTTCCAATAGCAAACCAGCCCTCTATGTTGCATTGTGTAAAACCAATGGTACATGCTCCTATCATTTGCTTGACAATGGGAGTAATTAGGTTATGACTCTGCCATAATTACCAAAAGTAGAAGACAGTTATGGGCAGAGGGAATAAACTATTAGAGGAAGACAGTTAACAAATGAAGAATATTCAGTTTCAAGCACTGAGAGTTTTCCAGTCCTTTAGATACAGCCCACATTCAGAAATAATACCGTACCTGCAAATCCTGAACAAAACACTGCCACAGCAATTGCTCCAAACCCTAGCCATGGGTTCTGCTCCACCTGCAACATCAACCATCATTTTAAAAAGGATACAACACTTCAGTCATTCACAATAATCAATTCCAGAGTGCTGTGGTTTAAATTCAGCCAGCAACTAAGCAGCACCCAGCTCCTCACTTATTCCCCCCAAGCCCTATAGTGGGGAGAAGAATTTAAAACAAAAGGTAAACTTTGTAGGTTGATATAAGCACAGTTTAATAACTAAATAAAAATAAAAATTACAAATAATTCTAGTATTACCAAAAGAAGAGAGAGAGAGAGAGAGAGAAAACCCAAGAAAACTAAGTATAACTACATCAAAATAAAAATTACTAATAATTCTAGTATTAATAAAAGCAGAGAGAGATATAAAATCCAAGAAAACTAAGTGATGCACAAAGTAATTGATCACCACCTGCTGACAGATGCCCAGCCCATCCTGCAGCAGCAATCAGCCCCTCCTGGCCAAATTCCCTGATTTTCCATGGTGGGTGTAACATTCCATAGTATGGCACATCCCTTTGGCCAGTTCAGCTCAGCTGTCCTGGCCGTGCTCCCTCCTGGTTTCTTGTGCCCCTCCTCACTGGCAGAACAGGAGACGCTGAAGAGCCCTGGCCTCAGGGTTAAGCATTACTGAGCCACCATTTAAACACCAGTGTGTTACCAACATTGTTCTCATACTAAATCCAAAACACAGCACTGAACCAGCTACTAGGAGGGAATTTCATTCTCTCCCAGCCAAAACAAGGGCACAGAGCTACTTCATTAAGTAAAGCAAAATTATTAGCATTTCACTGCAGCACCACGTGCCCTTGCTGATCTAGGGCTGTCGCTCAGATCAGCTCAGTGTAGCTGGGTGGTGTTTCCCTTTCTGGGGGTGCTCTCACAATGCGCAGAGGCACTGTCCCCTTGGCTGTGGCCAGCACTGCCAGAGGCATGACCTACCTTTCCCACTAATGCAGCTGAGCAGCAGCTCTGGCCTAAGAAACAGAAGACACTTGTTTCTCCCTACAACAGGATTAGGTCAGTGCCTCTGAAGGGTGTGTTTAAATGACATACCCACACTGCACTGGAGTTTTGCTCCTAATTCCTTGCACTGCTTTGATTCCAAGTTCTCTGTTCCAACAATTACAATGTTACCAAGGCCAACTGCTGGAAACAATCTATTACTCAGACACTCCTAGGATGGTGCATTAGGTTATGGTGGCTGTGGTAATTTATACTAATTGTAGCAATCCCTTGCATTTTCAACAAGTGAGACCAGAGCAACACCACAAGCCCGACTGAACGGGTACACAGAAAGGTGAAAGCCAAGGATCAAGGATCATTTATTCTTGACCCAAAGAGGGAAGATTTTAACTCTTACCTGTACTTTTGTAGCCTGAGCAGGCTCCCACTGAACAAGGGTAACACCACCACACAGCATGAAGACAGAGAACCACTGCAACTTACTAAGGGTACGGCTCAGCATCAGGACTGTACATAAAGCTGTACAAGGGATCTTCAACTGGTATGTCACCTAGAAAAGATGGGAATGTAGTGCAGAGGACATGGTTTTATAAATTCCTCCAAAACTAGAAAATAAAAGAGAAAATTCAACTACAGAATGACAGATTTTTATATTCATTGATTTCCTACATATCCATCTCCAACTACAACAATGTGAATTTGAAGTGTCTATAGCAGTGAGTGGCTTGGCTCAGAAAGCCAGAGCTCTGCAGCAGAGTGTATGCTCTGAACAGAACAAAGCACAGTTTCGCTTTTAACACTGAGGCTGAAGAGAGTGCTGCATGCCAGGCAGATACCTGACACATGTGCCTAATAAACCTGGAAAGAGAAATATATTTCCAGGTCTGCTACTGACAGAAACCTGTATTACCTGGTAGACTGCAGCATCCAAGTTGCTAAGAGCCACGAATGCCATATTGTTTTGGAGAGCATACACCACAGATGGAACACTTAATTTCAGCAGTTCTTTAGGACTTCCAAATACATTTTCTTTTAAAGATGTTATTAATCTTGTCAGACTTCCAGTTTCTCTGCAAAATATTAGCATAATGGAGGGCATTCCTAAACTGGTATTTTAAAACAGAAATCAAATCAATGAATCCCTTGGGAGGGCTGAAAATTCGTCTTCCACGATCAGTTGTACTTTCTGTTCATAAAAGAAAAAAAAGATTAACTGGCAAAAAACAAGTGAGGTTTTCAACAAGTAGAAAGCCCTGAAGGTGAGAGAAACATTCTGGAATCAGGAAGTTGATGCATCAATGTGTAGCAGTGTGTCAATATAGGCAGTGGAACAGAAGGCTGTTGTTCACATCTCCCCTTTTTTACTGGGTATTAATGATTGTGTGTGATGTCAAATGCCTACGATTTTCCAGATCCTCTTTAAACTAGGCCTCACAGTACAGTCAAAAAAGGATTGTACCCTTGCACACTGCTTACCTAGAAAAACCTCTCATTCCTCAGTCAGCCATGGGCTCCCAGTCTCACCTGTGCTGTGGGAGAGGCTGGGCCAGCAGCAGCACACACATGGAGAGGGCTGGCGGGTGTGTGAGGGCTCCCTGTCGCCTGTCCCTGTCTTTGCCTTTCACACATCTCCTCCAAGGAATTTCAGCGTGTGATGGAGCAGGCAATGGGGAAGAATGTGTTGCTGCTGGCTGCTTTTGCAGTTTGCTGCTCAGCTTTTCACAGCTGCCCTCTGCATTACTGGTACTCCCTCATCGCTTGTACATCAATCTGACATTTGCTGCTTACTTGTTGCTGCTGCTCCAGTCCTCTTCCCAGTTCTCCCACAGCTCCCCTTTCCAATCTTCTCTTGCTTAGCACTGACAAACACCAACATCCCAAATCATTCCTGCCCCCTCTCACAGGCCTTTCAACTTGTAAGCTGTACTGCTCTTCAATTTAATTTTCCTTGTGTTTCTATTGCACACTTGTATGAATAAATAGCTTTAACCACCTTTCAGCATATTTTCCTTTCCTGATCAACCACTGACTCTGCACTCCAGTTGTTCAACTTTTCCTCTCAGAAGATTTACAGGCTTTACCCTCTCATGATCCTTCCATCCAAATTTCTCTCCTTCCTTGTCTTCCTCCCTACTTGCACCAAGCATTTACTTCTTCTTCCTCTTTTATTTTCCCCTGTAGGGAGAGCAGTTGTTAGGCAGAGGCAGCTGCAAGGGATTCTTTTTGCATTTTTCCATAACAGAAAGAACACACAAAAAATCAGACATGTCTGTCCACAGGGAATAACCGTGACAAGAAAATCCACGGACAAATAGCATTAAAGTGAAGTCTGCAATACAAGAAAGGGGAAGAGTTCATGCTACAGCTCACCATGGTTAATTGCACTAGATACAGAAATGTATAAAATGTTAGGAGCCACTGATGTTATGGGCAGATTTTTTTGGTTTGTTCAATTTCTGAAGTTATTTATTACATTGTCTAGGACTGGGAGATAAGATTACAAGAAAATTGGGTCATTGCCAAGTACACCTGGACTAAAGTACTTCTATCTCAAATGTCTAACTGAAAATAAAATATTTAGCACAGACGTGGTTCTACTCTATGAAAATAAGAAGTAAAAAAAAAACCCACAGAGGAATAACATCTTCTATTCATTGATACTAAGGTGGGCTGTCAAACAAGAAAATAATATTTAAACTATAAAACAATATTTAAAATCATTTAAAACTAATATTTAAAATAATTTTTCAACTGCTTATGTTCCAGACCATGCTCATGTGAATTTGTTGATCACATTTTTAAAGTCACAGCAGCAATAGTAACTTCTGTCTACTTTGACTTCAAGCACAAAATCTCAGCAATGAAGAATAACATGTGCCTAATAATCACCATCTTCCCTTTAGATTTTGAGGACAAGAAGCTAAACTAGCTAATAGTTCATCTGTGCAGTGGATGTGCTTTCTGAAGCAGGCACTTACCAACAATCTCTAACTGTAGGTTGAATTCAGTACATGGCCAAAAAACAACTTAAAGCAAACCTCCATGTACAGCTGATAATGTAAAATTAGGTTCAAAGAAGTACACTGCAAGATCAAATCAGAAAATAAACAATTATCTAGCTTGAATTCAGCTTTCTTGATGTTCATCTAGGTTTGAATTTTAAAACATTATCAATTTTCTTTGTAGAATGGTTCAGGTTGGAAGAGACCCGAAGATCATCTTGTTTCAACCTCCCTGCCATGGGCAGGGACAATTTCCACTGGACCAGTGTGCCCCAAGCCCCATCCAGCCTGGTCTTGAACATCTACAGGGCTGGGGCATCCACCACATCTCTGGGCAGCCTGTCTCAGAGATTTACCACCCTCACACTAAAGAATTTATTCCTAATACCTATTTTCTCCTTTCATAAATTCATTACCCCATTGATAAAGCCAATTTCTAAGTATGAAGAGGTGAGAGATACTAATAACTATCAGTTATGCAACAGAAAAACACATTTGTTAGAAAAGCTGAAGTTAAAAGTAGAGTTTGCAAAACAGCTCTGCTTTTCTTCATCCATGACTAAGTAGTTATGTACCAGCTAAGAATGTAGCAAATGCTATTACCAGATGGTGAACAGGACTTTAAATAAGCATGAGAAATGGAGAGGATACTTCAGTTAACAATTAGCACAGCTTAAACTATCATAAGCTTCTCTTTTGAAAGACAATTCTTTGGCATTCATCCATTCAATGTGCCCTCCAGGAGATGCCTTAAGAGTAAACAGTGAAGGCATCATGTAATAATGTGTAAGAAAACAAACTTGGCAGATGGAACAGTGGGAGAGTTGTACTCTAGCACCCTGTACACTGCAGTTACCAATGCTATCTCTTTCAAAAAGCAAAGGTACCCACACAAATGTATGCTGCTGTACAGTAAAAAAACAGGACTGGTTACTGACCTACAAAGGCACCTTACCTGGGGTGAGACAAATTGGTTAGGATTTAAAACTGAAAGAAGCTGTAAAGGAGACAGGGAAAGAAGCTGTGCTGGAATTGATGCTGTTCAGCATATTCATAAGTGATCTGGAAGGGGAGGGTACTAGAAAGTTGGCAACTTCTGGACCCATCAGTATGCCAGACACTTTACCAAGGAGAGGGAGCTTGGCCTGATGAACAGTGTCTGCTGGTGCCCATCTCTCCCTCAGCTATGGAGAACAAACCCCACCAGCTGACCAGATCAGAATAGACCTTATAAGCCCAAACAGGTCAGTGAATCTGATTCTTCCCATTTAAACTGGTAAATAAGGCTCAGGTGTCAATGAATGAGAAAGAACCATAAGAAATGGCCACCCCTATATTACAGCAACTCTCTCTCATCTAGTTATGGAGACCTGGCAAAAAAATGCAAGTAGTTCTGGGATGGCACCAGCTCAAGGATGGCATCAGCTTCAGAGAAATGAGCATAACCCTTAGGAAAGGAACTGAGGCTGAGAGAGAACACACCTTCATTCTCTGCCATGGCAGTTCATATCCTGACTACAGCATGCAGCTCTGGATCCTGTTTCAGAAGGGATGTAACAATGCTGGAAATGCTCTAAGGATGGGTACTATGATGATCCCAGAAAAATTAAACTAGGGCTCCTGGCTTAGAAAATAAATCAGTGATGAAAGCGCAGATCTACAGAGTTATGAAAAGCAAAATGAAGGAGGAAATATTATTCATCATATCTGTCAACACAAAACAACAGGCTCCATAAGTTACTGCCACCAGCTAAGGGAAGCTCAGCCCATGCTTGCCCCCTTGGCTACACTTGCATTCTACACATCCTCTGCTGACAAACAGAAAATAATGGGCTACAGACACTTTTTGCTGTGCTGGGCTGCTCTAAAAACATCAACATGCTAAGACTTCTCTCTGAGTTAAATGTAATTTAGTTTTTAATTATTTCAAATAAAAAAGACCATTCATACATTTAATGAACAAAATATTACAGACTCTTAACAAAAGGGACTGCTTCCCCTGCTGCACTAGGTGTACTACAAACAGCCTGAGTCCCAGGTGCACAAGATTTGACAAATTACCCACACAGGTGAGGCTGCCCAGAGGGAGCTCTCTACCCTCACCATTGGGAAGCATGGGCTGCTTCAGTGTCCAGAGAGGAAGTGGGATCCTCATTGGTCACAACAGTGAGAGCCACAGCAGAACCACGTGTCAGCAGAGTCATTTCTGCCAGCATTTTGTGCTGACAGGGTGTCCAGGGTGCATGTAAAGAAAAACAGACATTCCCCGCTGGACACATCTGCCTTTTCTAACACATTCCATTTAATGAAAGGTTAAAGAAAAAAAGCAGTTTGTCACAGTTGCCTCACCAAATTCAAATATCACCTCACTTCTAAAGCAAGTAAAATGCCATTTGTGTGCTAAGAGGCAAAGAGCTGATGAAAATCTGAAGTACATCATGTGACTGCATGAGCACATAACAGCCAGCCTTCTGATGTACCACAAGCCACAAAGAGAGACAGAGACCCTAAAAGAACAAATTCTATCACAGCAGCAAGAACTGGGCTTTGGAAAATAGAAAAAAATAGAAAAAGAGAAAATATAAAAAAAATCTTTATATTCCTAGAATATAAGGACTCTTCCTAGGAAGCTGAAAAGCAGAAAAGGCAGCAGACTGATAGCCTCCCTATTTGAGATGCTCATGCACGGACTAAAGCTCTAGTTCTTAGCAGCAGTCTGGAATTACAGAAACCACTATTTTTTGATCACAGCCTTTCAGTATTGGCTTGCAGATTATTAGAGACAGCAAAATGTCTGTCTGTAACATTGTTTGGGAAAATTTACTAGTAGGAATGTTAGAATTTCATGTAACTCAGCAGATGATGGCTCACAGCAGATGATCAAAGTCTGACTTTCATCTACACCAACATCTTAAAGACCAAAACACCATGGATAATCCATGCTGACACTCTGAAGTGATTCCAAAAATAGAAAATATGTAGAAAGGTTACACCTGAATATTGTGCTGTATACAAAGCAGTTTCAGTTGATGAGGACTCACAAGCTCTAACCTGCTCTAAATTACCCTTCCACAGCACCATTATCCAGCCACATTCTCAAACATACCTGCACTTCAGGACCCGAGAATCTGAGGTTAGAAGCAAGGACTGGTTTTCAAAACACTGATCAGCACTCCCACACTTACTTAGCCAAGATTCCCAGGCTCAGGAACAGCTTGATAACTTCAGTGACACACACAGCTGTTGTTGAAAAGTAGAGCTCTGTCTCCACTGTCCTGGTGTACCGCAGTGCCACCGTGTACGTGGCAGCAACCAGGGTCATCACCGTGAGGCAGTACAGCTTGAACAGCAAGCTGACATTTTCTGAAACAGAGAGAGACTCAGTGTGACCCCCATTTTCATTTAAGAACTGAAACAGCATGTTCTGCAGCTGCAGGTGTGTATCGAACACCACTGTGTCAGCAGACAATAATTACAATGTTAGGAAACACTTTCCATAAAAAAAAATTTGGTTAAATTTTACAGCCTTCTCAAAGAAGCTTGTACAGGAACCCCAAGTGTTTGAAAATGAGATGCTCTCTTGCCCTTGTAATCATCCTTCATTCTAGAAAAAACTAATAATACATTAACATTTATCTAATAATAATCAAAAACTCTTTCAGTGCTTTCCTGCTCTCCAGCTGACAGTAGGTGCTCACTCTGAAATGGCATCTGCTCCTCCTCGTGTAATATACTGAACTCTGACACAAAGAGCATTGGCAGACCAGCAAAAGCAAAAAGAGAGGAAAAGTTCAATATAAGCAAAGAAATCTAGCAAATCTTAATAAAAAAGGCAGCGCTTCTGTCAGTCCTATTTTCCACTCAAGTTAGTAAAAGAAGATTTTGCTCTGAATGGTGATGGCTCTTCACACAAAGGACTGAAGGACTTTCTTGAAAAAATCCCTGTGGAAAGGTTTAAGGTTACAGCTCTTGAAGAAAATTAAATCACACAAGGACTGTGTACCATTTGTGTTATCCCCTCTGTCCTCCCCACTGATATATTCCTACAACAGCAGCAATACTTGTAACAGCTTTGACCTGGACCAGCTATATCCTGCAAAATTTTGGAGTTAGCCTGTCCAAGGTCCCCTGGAAGATGGCAGTTTTTCATCCATCCACACTCCTCCAAGGCCTGAGAGCTCCATCAGGCCACTCCAGTGCACTCTCAGGTCAGGGAATGCTGAGCCTGCATCTGAACCAGCTGGGAGAACAGCACACAACTCCAAATGGGATTTCTCTGCACAAAGGCAAAGCCCACCACGAGACATCAGCCAATGTGTGGCTTCTACAAAATCCTTTTTCGCACTGGCAGATTGTTATGCTTGGCATCTCTCTGGTGGGTATTGGTCACTCAGCAGCACCTTTGGAGCCACTGTCATGTTCTAAATATCCTAAGGAAATGTGTTTTAATTGGTCTAAGTTTGTATTCCTCTGCTGATTAGGGATTGAGATAGAGGATAAGTAGTTTTGTAATAATTTTGTTCATTTAATAAAGGAACGAGTTGCTGAATCCAGTGCGACCGATGCTTTGGTTCATGTTACTTTCAAACCAGAGATGTCTTCAATTGCATAACATTTCTGCAAGGTACAGTTAATACCTCCTGCCACTCCAATCATTTAAATTAGCTACTTCCTCATAGATAAAAATCTTACCCATGTCAGTAACCACTTTTAAAAGGTAGAGGCAATTAGTTTTTGGACTAACAATGCTTAGAAGAGACTTACAACTTGGAACCAATTTTTAAATTAAATTTGGATTGTGGGGAGGAAATACAAGGACAACAAGGAAATATAACTAACCCCATCTGGTTTTACAAAAACGTATCTTCAAATGATGTTTCAGTGCTGACAGAAATTATATTAATGCTGTGATTTGACACACGAAGATTTTAAGTCTATGCACCACCAAACTAAAGCTAAACTTAATCCTTGCCTCTAGTAACTACTCTTAAAAAAAAAAAAAAAGCCCCAATTTGGCAATGGTTTGGAAACTTGGATAAGCCAAAGGCAGCAAGACATAACAAATCTAGTATCTAGACTAGATAGTTCCAGCATTATGTAAAAAGGTATTTGTAATTCTTTTCGGCCTGGACATTTCTTCGGCTGGCTCCCATGTCTGCATCAGTACCAGTGCAGAGAGGGGAGCAGAAGGAAGCATAGCTGGGGCACCCATAACTTCTGCTGGGTAAATCTGAACTTACACCTGCCTAAAGAAAAGAAAGCTGGAAGAAGCTTTTGGGTTTTTTCCCAGTAAATCCCACCTGGATGAAATTATTTCTGGCAAAAAGGGACCAGACGGGCCAAAAGCCTTAGGATAAAAGTGTGAGCCTCCCACACATCTCCACGGCTGATCTGAGGGCTCTGCCAGGGCTCCTGGAAGGCAGCCCCGGGCCAAGCCTGGCACTGGAGCACAGCCCGCTGCCTGCCCGGTAATTTGGGGTGGCAGG